CCTGAAAACTCAATGACCATTCAGTTCATTATACTTTACAATACTTTACATAGCCAATTATCTTTGTCAAGATATTTCTTACATCATTTCCCCTTCACCATTATATTTAAGTGGATATAATTATTGATGTATTTATATTATTATAGTTAGATACATCCTGTGATGGTTATGTAGACTGGGATGAATTCTGTACCTATATGTTATTATTATACCGAGAAAATGACTATATACGTAGTAAGAAAGAAATACCATTTCTACAAGAACCTAAAATTAGACATATAGTACCAAATAAGGTAGGCTTAATTCTATTAGTCCTTTGATTAAGCCTATAAAATCTTGAGTACAGCTTCAGAAATGTGGTGCTTTTTAGGCCATTAAAGTGATATACCTGTATAGTTATTCAGTTGACCACTGTATAGAGCTCAACTTTATTTAGTTTGATTATTAATTTCTAAATTACACAACTACATCCTTTTAGATCCAGGTATGTATTATTTACAAATATTTTATGTCCTATTTTTCTGCACCATGTGAGCTAATCAAGACGGACAACGCCATGCAGGGTACAATAAGGAAAATTTTGCCAGGACAGCGGTATCAGTCTGCTCTTTTTTTGATTTCCCACTGTCAACGGATCTTTAACATGCACAGCCTTTAGCACACTAGGCCTCAGTTTATTGTCCCATCCAAACAACTAGACGCTTTTTCCATGTCAGCCCCTCTTGCCTGCATAACTGACAGGGATAAACCGGGTTGAAAATCTGAAGGTATCATCTTGACCTATGCTGGGATTGAACTCTGGACCTTCAAGTTAGCGAGCAAACAAATATTTGTGAAACTTAATGATCACATATCTTTCATCAGAAAAAAGTCATACATGCTTTCTGAACACCAAGATTGCACTTTTCGTGTTTTTTTCTGTGAATCATTAAGTATGGATTGAAAATGAAGTTTTCCAGATAAAAGACACAGTACAAAGTACTCTTTCTTATTCTTGCATATTACTGTTAATTTTCATGGTTATCTTTATGATTTATATCATTTATATTAATGTTAGATTGTTTGTATGAATTATATATATATTCCCTGACATGTATATATATTATTTTCAGCAAGAACAAACTACTAGAATTTTGTCAATTGATAATCCAACCAGATTTGTAACGCTAAGTAGAGTAAGTTAATTTTTGCCAAATTGTTATGATTTTATTTATCAGGTCCCTATGTAATTTGATTTTTGAGTTGGTTTTCTTTTATGTATCTCATTACTTCAATATTGTTGCAAGAATGGTACGTTA